TTTCATAGTTAAATGTTTATGGTGGCAGGAGGTAACACCCAGCCCGCAAAATTCGCAAAATTCGCGATCATGTTACAATGGGCTCTGCGAGCCAGGACGAGCTGGCTGTACCTTATCGGGGCTCCTCCTGGGCACCAGGTGTGTGGTTCCATGTGCCCCCCTTTGCAATGCCATGGTCACGCCCCTGTGCATGCATCTGCATCCACCTGTCTCTGAGTATAAAGGAGCCTAGGCGTGCCCCACGTGCACCGAGGGGTCTCTGTGGGCAGCACCACTCTGCACACCCCCATGTCTACCTGGACCCACAGGTGTCCACGTACCCGAATGCCAGGGGACCCGTGTGTCTCTGCAGGAGTCACTGGCCTAAGTATACACTCCAGTGACCTGCTGGTGCCATGGCTGAGCATCTCCTGCTAACTCCATGCTCAGTGGCATCAGGTTGTCACTGCAATCAGCTCCGTGGGAGCATTTACACCACAGCAGTCGGCAAATGCAACGTAGCAGGACTTTTTTTTTTTTTTCTGATCAGAAAGGTGGTTGTTAAACATTTACCAGAACACGGTAGGGACCCAGGTGCATCCGTGTGCCCATGTAGCCGTGTGCACACAAGCACATGCCAGTGCGGGTTCCTGGGGCATCTGAACACCTGTGTCTCCACGGATACACTTGACTTACGTGTCCCGTGCATCGCTGTGGACCCGTGCACCCGGACGAGGCCCTGGCACCCCGTTCCTCATCAGCAGTTGGTTCCACAGGAAGCTGCTGGGGTGGGGGAGAGGGTGCTGAGGCTCCCCGCCCCGCTCCCCACCCCACCTCTCAGGACACCTGCACGTACAGGGCTGAGCAGTGGGGGGAGGCTCCCTGCTTCTGAAACCCTACCTGCGCTGTCCCCGGACCCCTTGCCTCGGCCCACGGCCAGGGTCAACAGAGGCGCCAAGCAGGCGGGCAGGCAGTTGAGGAAGAGGAAGCCGGGGCAGAGTTGGGTCACCCTGCGGTTCCCAGGGGCCCCGACCGGCCAGCGCTCCCCCTGGGCCTCCTGGAAGCCTTAGCCATGGGTCTTGGGGTGCAGGAGCTGGTAGCCAGCCGGGCCGGGGTTCCCACGGCAGCAAAGACAAGCCTCCCTCTGGTGAGTGACCATCACAGGGGCGTGGGGGACAGATGAACCAACAGAGACAGAGCAGCAGTGGGGCCGGGGGCTGGGGGGGTCCCGAGGGGCAGCAGAGGAACGCCCACACACAGTTTCTCTCCACTTTGTGGCTTGTCTGCTTCCTGAGTGGGAGAGGAAGGCTGTTTGACTCCGTGTTTGTTCTGTGGAGGTCTGTGCGCCCCAGAGGTCACCCCAGGGGGCTGGGGCCCACGACACGTGCAGCCCATAAGACAGGAAGATGGAGCCCCTGGTAGTCAGAGCCTGCACAGGGGACCCCGATGGGGCGGATGGATGTGCTCCCCATGGCAGAGGCACCAGGCATGCTTGGCTTTGTAAACTGGATCCCCCTCACCCTGGGGCAGCAGTGGGGGGGGACCACGACCTCCCTAAGGCCCCTCCCTGTGGCTTGGGCTGTCTGACTTTTTTTATTATTTTTTGGGGGGGTGTCTGACTTTTAAAACAAACACTGCCTCGTAAGGTTGGTGTCTGAGAGCCTGTCGGGAGGAGGACCCATCCCAATCTTTTGAGGTCACCCAAGGAAGAGGAGGCCCCTCTTCTCGGGCTGCCTAGGTGGAGTTCCAGCACCCCACCCCCCGGAGGGGGAGACAGACCCTGGCTCCCACAGAGGCCCACCTTGGGGAGCTCCGCCCCTGCCTGTCTCGAGTGGGGTGAAGGGGGAGGAAGGCTGCGGTTTGCACAGGGCACACCCAGGCCTGCTTCCGCCCAGCCCCGGGCCACGCAGCCTGCAGGCAGCGTCGTGCACCAATGGGGTCTGGTGGCCCAGGAGCAGCCGGGAGGGGCTGGTCTGGGAGGGGAGAGCGGGCTCCAGGGAGAACCGAGCTGGTGAGTTAGGCTAGGGACATGTGGCGAAAGCCCTGAATGCCCCACTCAGGGTGCTGATTCTCTGGGGTGCTCTGCTGGCCCTGTCACCTGCGGTTCTGAGGAACGGGCTTGACAAGCAAGTGCAACCAAGGGAGGGCCGCCCCCACTCTCAGTGACCTGTGAGTTTGCTGGCCTCTGTGATGAGCCCCTCCGGGAGGGCTTCCTGGAGGAAGCAGGCTTTTCACAGCAGTGTCAACCACAAACACATCTGTGTGTCTGTTCTGGGCCACATCTCCACATGTCCCCTTGGGCCCCCAGCGCCCCCGCCAGACACAGGGCTGGACATGGGACCAGTGCTTGATACTGTCGCCCCCAGCCTCTGTGTGCCCACGGGCAAGTGACTTCACCCCTCTGGCTCAGGCTGCTCCTCTGTAAAAGGGTTGTCACAGGTCTTGCACGTGGAATCTTAACGCGGCGCCTGGCACATCACAGGAGCTCAGGAAATGCTGTCTGTCCTTGAGGCCCATCCCTGTCCCAAAGCCTCGCGTCAGCGGCCACAGGAGCGCTGGCACCTGCCCTCCACCCAGAGGTCCAGGGCGTCCATAGGGACCTGTAGCCGGTCCAGGGAAAGGCGAGTGCTGGGCCCTGGGCGAATCACAGCCCCGAGCACGGCAGAGGGGGAGGTGTTGTTAAATCCCCGTGAGCCATTCTCTAGGTTTCCAGAGAGTCTGGCCATTTGTGTATGATTGTGTGTGTGTGCGTGCGCGCATATGTCTGTGTGCACATGGACATGGGTGTGAAGGTATGTCAGACTAGTGTGCGTACGTCTGCAGTTGTCCATGTGTGCTGGAGCCTGTTGGGTGTTTCTGTGTCTTTCTGTTAGTGAAAGATTCGGGGGTGGGTCACCGACTCGTGAGAGCTCAAGTCTCAAGGGAGGTGTAGATGGGGTCATCAGGGCCGGGGCTCAGGGGGGGAAGTGTGAAATGCCCAAGGACAGAGTTTATAGGTCAGAGAGAGAAAGGAAAATGAGCCAAGGCGGGAAGGGAGTCTGATGAATGAGCAGGGAGGAGAAGCTGGTGGCATCGTGGGGGGTGGAGGGATGTTCAAGAAAGAAGGGGTCAAGGCGCCTGGGTGGCTCAGTGATTGAGCATCTGCCTTTGGCTCAGGTCTCAGGTCGTGATCCTGGGGTCCCGGGATCGAGTCCCTCATCGGGCTCCCTGCACAGAGCCTGCTTCTCCCTCTACCTGTGTCTCTGCCTCTCTCTGTGTGTCTCTCATGAATAAATAAATAAAACCTTAAAAAAAAGAAAGAAAAGAAAGAAGGGGTCAGAGGCGTCCGGCAAAGGGGAAGCAGAAAAGTGTCCCTTGGATTTAGAGAGAGCGGGAAGGCTGGAGGGGGTGGCAATCAGCCTCCAGGGGCTGCGGGATGGAGCAGGTGCGAGTAGGCAAAGGCAAGCCTGCAGATAACCCTTCAGGAAAGGTCGCTGAAGAGTGACAGCCTTTTCCTCCGAGGGGGCGGTGGGGGCCAGGACGCAAGGAAGGAGACGGCCACTGGTGATCGTCTCACCAGTGACAGTGGTTTGGGGCTGGGAGGTCGCAGAAAGGATTCGGGGAGCGCAGGAGGTCAACAGGGAACAAAGCCACAATTTCTCAGCTCAGGGAGTGAGGATGCAGTAGGGAGGCTGGACCATCAGGGGGCAGCGTTGGCCCGGCCACCTGCGGACCCGCGCTTGCACACCCGCCCCCCACCCGCCCCACACGACCGCGCAGACACACACAAGCCCGGCACAGCTGTCGGACACAGATAGCCCCCCCCCCCCCCGTCCCAGGTGAGCCGTGCCGCTCCAACCCCACAGATGCCAGCGGGCCTCCAGACACTCAGGTTCGCAGGTGCTTGCTGAACACGCCCAGATAACAATATTCAGCAATAAAAAGGACGGAAATCCTGTTATTTGTGACAACGGGGATGGACTTTGAGGGCATTATGCTCAGTGAGATTAAGTCAGGCAGAGAAAGACAAATCCTGGGCGCTCTCACTTTTAAGAGTGGAATCTGAAAAACAGCCACCAAGCTCGGGGATAAAGAGATGGGATTTGTGGGTTCCAGGAGCAGGGACTGGGGGTGAGGGTGGGGCGTGGGGAGTTGGGAAAAGGAGACCAAAAGGGACAAACTTCCAGCTCCAGGAGAGATAAGTCCTGGCGATGCACCGCACGGCGTGGTGACTGCTGCGCGCTCTGTTGGAAAAGCTGCTGGGAGAGTAGACCCTAAAAGTTCTCATCCCAAGGAAAAAAAAAGATATTTCTCCTTTTTTCTGCATCTACATGAGGTGATGGGTGTTAACTAAACTGGTTGTGGTGGTCACTTCACAATATGTGTAAGCTAGGTCGTGCTGTGTGCCTTAAATTTATACAGCGCTGTGTGCTCATTATATCTCAATAAAACCGGGGGGGGGCACCTGGATGTTCCAAATCCCCCCCCCAGTGTAGGCAGGTTGACACTCAAGATTTGCACTCGAACACACACCCAGAGGCATGAAAATACACACCCTGTGTGCAAAGTCGCAAACACGGTGTCAGAATCACAATGAAAAAAAAATCATAGACAATGGCACACACACACACACACACACACACACTCATTCAGACACATGCAGACTCACCTCAGGACCCGGTCTAGACTCGCTTTCTGAAGACCCCGACGTCCCCACCACTCACACTGCCGTCTTGGGCTCCCCCTGGGAATGTCTTGTCCAGCCAGGCTGAGAGGCTAAAGGGTCGAGGAAGCGTAGGGTGGTGTGGGCTGTACGGAGGGCTTGGCCTCCCCCCAGGCTGGAGCCCCCGGACTCCCCACCCCCAGCCGAAAACCCCAGCCCCCCTGCCCTACCCCCAGCCTCCCATCAGCTGATGCATCTGGCAGCCCCTGGCTGCAGTCTCCGCCCCTCTTGCTGGCAGCCCCATCCTGGCAGGGATTCCCAGCCAAAGTCCTGCTTCATCCTCTGCTGGTCGCCCACACTCCCGCACGCGTGGGCCCCCATGGCTAACTCGGCGCTCAACCACTCCTGGCCGGCCCTCTCCAAGCTGTGGCTGAGGCGGTGGGCCTTCAAGAGAGGTAAGGGGGCGGGCAGTGGCCAGCAGGCACGTCCCCCCAGGCAGGGCTCCCTTGACAGCCTGGAACCTTTTCTTGGCCTGGGGCACAGACTTTAGCTGATCCAGCCCCAAATTCCATCATCCCTAGTTCCCCCGGACGCCACAGGACATCACAGGCTTATGGGGTCCCTCTCACTTCAGAGGAACCTTCCCCCCCACCCAGGGCTCAGCCAGGACCTTGTCTCAGGAGATAATTTTGCGGAAAGAGAATCCACCCCAGAACTCCCTCTCTGGGCAGCCTGGTGCCTTCCTGGGGGTTCCTGGTGCTGTTTGCTCCTGGAAGGCGGCAGGATGGAGGCTCGGGGAGGCAGCAAAAAAGAGGAGGTTTGAGACTTCCAGGGGTTCTGGTAGATGCCTCCCTCAAACACACACACAACATTGGCTGGTGGCAACCCCTTCCCAGGTCCTGGGGCCTCAGTTTACCTCTGTGGGGGCTGGAGAGGCCCCTGTATTATGTCTCCCAAGGTGTGGGTGAATTGTTTTGGCAAAAAGACTCCTCTCCCTAAATCACAAGGCGAGTTTACCCTTGAGGGTATAACCAGAGAGTGGCCAGGGCCACAAGGCGTAGGGGACAGTGTGATGGGAGCCTCCTGGATGTCCCTGGCCTCTGTGCCTCCCATCTTTGCACGACCCTCCCCTGCCTCACCCAGAACAGCCCCCTGCCACCTGCATGAGTCAAGTACTTGTTCAGGGTGGGGGTGAGTGCTGGTGAAGTGGGAGGCCAATGAGAGGATTCGTTAGCTCATTCTGCCCACAGACTCTGTTTGAGGGCCTAATGTGTACCAGGCACCCCGCGTGGGTCAGGAAGGAGATGGGAGTATCAGAGGCCTGGAGGTTGGGGTTGGGGACAGAGAGGGTGGCCCTGGAGGTTGGGAGGCAGGAAAAGAGTCATCAGAACGATGGCAGCTGCTGCCAGTTGTTGAACCGTCGTGAGGTTGAGAGAGGTTGAGTGACTTGCTCGAGGTCACACAGCAAGCCTGTGCCGGAGGAGCCAGGATTTGCAGACAGTTCTACTCCAAGGCTACCTCTGTGGTGTGTTCCGGCCAGTAAGCAAAGCTGCCAGGGTGGGCAGCTGCAGGGCCTGGGGAGGGTTTTTCAATCCACCAGTGGATGGCCATACCAGAGAACTCGTGCATCACCCATGGCCCAGCAAGACGCCTGTCTGTGACCCAGATCCTCATGAAGTTCCACCCACTCCTGGCCTCTCTGCCCACCCCGTCTTCCGGCCCAGGCAGATTGAGACTGATTCACAGGCTGGCAGGTGGGGGAGTGAGCTCAGGGAACCAGCAGTGACTCTTACACCCTTTTATGGCTGGTGCTGCAGGGGCTGATGGTGGAAGAGGCTGCCTACCTAAATCCGGACTCCTTAGAGAGAACCAAGGTGTTGGGGAGCAGAGTCTTTATTTAGCCCCGGGGAGTTAGGGAGGCACGAAGGAAGAGGGAGGTTCTGTGCCCCTTTAAGCTCTGTAACTGGCCATCTGGTCATCTAATGGGACTTTCTGGGAAAATGATGGGGTTGGATTTGGGGAAGCAAACAAGGCTGGGGAAAGGGTGATTGGGACCTGCCACTGCAGCTTCCCCCAATGAATGCGTAATGAGTGCATTCTGTGTCCTAACTTGGTTTCCTTCTTGCCTGGCTTCTCCGACTCTGTTCTATCCCCCCTCCATCTATAGCTCTCTCCCCTCATCCCCTCGGAATGGCATCTCCCGATTGTGATGCCTCACTGGCTCTGGACGCTGCCACACTATCTATCCCAACTATCCATCTATGCATGCATGCATCCATCCTTTCTTCCAACCCCCAGCCAGCAAGCCAACTATCCAACCGTGCATCCGTGCATCCATCCATGCATGCATTCATCTAACCAACCGTCTAGCCATCCTTCTAATCATCCATCCATTCAATTATCCATCTATCCATCCCTCTATCCATGTATGTATGCATAGATGCATGCATGCATCCATCCATCTAACCATCCATCCACTCATTCACCTCACCCAATAGCCAGCCAGCCAACCGTCCATCCATGCATCCATGTATTTGTGCACATGCATGCATGAATCCATCCATCCACTCATTCATCCATCCATCTAATCATCCATCCATCTACCCATCTAACCATCCATCCATCTAACCACATAACCATCACCTATCTTACCATCTAACCATTCACCCATCTAATGATCCATGCATCCATCCACCAAACAGCCAGCTAGTACCCATTTATTCATGCATCCAGAATCCATCTCCATTTATATAACCATCTGCCCATTTAACCATCTATCTGTTCAATCATCTACACATTCATTCATCCAACTATCCATCCATTCATTCATCCAGCCAGCCAGCCCACTAACTACCATCCACCCATCTATCCATCTATCCAACAGTTTATTCACCCATTCATCCAACCATCCACTCATCCATCCATCCAATCATTTATTCACCCACCCACCCATTCATCAGCTAACCACAGGTTAGCCTGATGGTTATAAACCCCCAGCTTTGGAGTTGGAAACACCGGGGTTCACATCCCAACCTCTGCCTCTTACATGACAGACTTAGCACTAGGCACGGTATATAGGAACTGATCAATACACATAAGATTTTACCACTTGGAGCTTGAGGATGTAAGAGTGGGACAGACACAGTACCTGCCCTCATGGACCTCATGGTCTGGAACAGGGATCAACAAGCTTTTTCTATAAAGGGCCAAAGAGTAAATACTTTCAGCTTTTCAGGGATCTCTGATGCAATTGCTGAACTCTGCTGTGATAGCATGAAAGCATCATAGATAATATATACGCAAATGGGCATGACTTGTGCTAACAAAACTTTGTTTATAAAATCAGGTGTTGAGCCAGATTTGACCCATGGAACTCTCAGTCCGGAAAGGAACAAGTAAACCAATCACAGTGAAATTATGGTTGACAATCGTTTGTGTGGGAAAACCCCAACAAGAATAATGGTTGTGTAGGGAGAGAAATAATGGGGGCTGAAATTCAGAGTGGCAGGGGAAAGGAGAAGAGAGGATGGAGTGGTGAAATGTCAGGGAGATCAAATTGACAGGGCTTGGTGTCCTGAGCGGTAGTGAGGAGGTAAGACTGGTCTCCCCATTTCTGGCCAGGTCACTGGGGAGATAGTGCAGTCATATTACTACAGGGACACAGGAGGAGGACAGAAAACAAAGAGTTTGGTCCTGACATCTTGAGGTTGGGGTATAGGTGGGAATACTAGGCAGCAATGATCGGTGTCCACTGGAGACAATGACTGGAGCCTGAGGGAAGAGAATCTTCCAGCAAAATCAGAGTTCACTGTTCAACATTAGAGTCAGAGCTCAGTCTATGAGCAGTGTCAGGGTTCAGCTTGTGGCACTAGGATGGGAACTCACTCTATGACACCAGGATCAGGACTGAGCCTATGAGATTAGGATTGGGGCTCAGTCCATGACACCAGGATGGGGCTAAGTCTCTGATACTGGGACTGGGGCTCAGTCTATGACACCAAGATGGGGCTCAATCTCTGATATTGAGATTGGGACTCAGTCTATGATACCTGGTTCAAAGTTCAGTCTATGACTCTGGGGATCAGGGCTTATAGTTGGCGACACAAAGATTGGGGTTCAGCATGGGACACCAGGATGAGAACTGAGTCCATCATCAAAGCCCAGCCCAGCCAGTTCTTGGGTCAGAAGCTTCCATAGAAAGAGCAAACTCATTCCTGACCTTTCACTTTCAGCCTGTGGGTCCCAGACCCACAGAGTTTGCAGATGCAAGATACAGGCTGTTGAGGCCTCAGGCCTCCATGGGGCCCCTGCCCAGTGAAGCAAGCTGACACTTGGGTCTTTCCTGAAGCCCCTGGGGTGCTTGGTCAAGGGATGGAACTGACCCCTGGGCCAGCTCCTCCTCCCCTCTCAGGCTCGCATCAGCCTCCCAGACTCACCCCCACATCTGGTTTTTCTCCTTCACAGCCTGCTTGTTTTGTTCGGACATTTCTCTGAGTCATACAGGCTGCCTTGGCTTCAGGGTGGGGAAGGCGGGAGATACTAGACCTAAACGAGGTACAGCAGAGCTGAGTCCGTCGGTCCGCCTGGGAAAGCAAGGATGGTGGGAACAAGGACAACATTCTCGCACACTGTGGCAGGCCCAGACATCAAAGGCTCATCTACCTTGAAGGAAATAGAGCTGGAGCCCAAAGGCACCCGCACAATCAAAATTCTGCAAGGGGTCCCGGCAATTTTTTTTGGCAACAGTTTCATTGAGATAGAATTCACACACTACACAAATCGCCCACTTAAGGTGTACAGTCCTATGACTTTGAGTACATCCACAGTGTTATGCACCCATCACCACAATCAATTTTAGAACATTTTCATCTTGGGGATCCCTGGGTGGCTCAGTGGTTTGGTGCCTGCCTTCGGCCCAGGGCAGGATCCTGGAGTCCCAGGATCAAGTCCCATGTCAGGCTCCCTGCGTGGCACCTGCTTCTCCCTCTGCCAGTGTCCCTACCCCTCTCTCTTTCTCTCTCTCTCTGTCTCTCTCTCTCTCTCTGTGTGTGTGTGTGTGTCTCATGAATAAATGAATAAAATCTTAAAAAAAATTTTCATCCCCCCAATAGAAATTCATATCTTCTAGCTATCACTCTACACCCCCCACCCTGTCCCCCCCCCCACAGCCATAGGCAATCACAAATCTGCTTTCCGTGTGTCTATGGACTCATCTCTTCCAGACATTTCTACAAATGGATAGCGTGTGCTCTTTGTTGACTGACTGCCTTGCTTATGTCTTCAAGGTTGATCCCTACCTTGTAGTTGGCATCAGAACTTCATTCCTTTTTTTGTTTTTTAAAGATTTTATTTATTTATTCATAAGAGACACACAGAGAGAGACAGAGACACAGGCAGAGGGAGAAGCAGGCTCCCTGCGGGGAGCCCGATGCGGGACTCGATCCTGGGACTGGGATCACACCCTGAGCCGAAGGCAGACCCACAGAACCACCACCCAGGCGCCCCAGAACTTTATTTCTTTCAGTGGCTGGATACTCTTCCCCTATATGTCTACACCACATCTTGTGTATCTCTTCACCCAGGGGTGGATAGCTGGGTTATTTCCACCTTCTATTATAAAAAGTGCTGCTGCGGGGCAGCCCCAGTGGCGCAGTGGTTTAGTGCTGCCTGCAGCCCAGGGCGTGATCCTGGAGACCCTGGATCGAGTCCCACGTCAGGCTCTTTGTATGATGCCTGCTTCTCCCTCTGCCTGTGTCTCTGCCTCTCTCTCTGTGTCTATCATGAATAAATAAATAACATCTTAAAAAAAAAGTGCTGCTGCGAGTGGTCACATATTAACTTTTGGGTGGACATACGTCTTCATTTCCTGAGGGGCTATACCTAGCTGTGGGGTGGCTGGGTCACGTGATAGCTCTCTGAGTTTCTTTTTTAAGGGACAGCACAGTTTTCCAGTGTCCTTGTGGTTTTGCCCCCTTGTCACCCATCTATTCACAAAGTGTGTATATTGTTTCCTGTTTGACTTGACTGTTTTCTGATGTTCGTGTTCAGAGGCCCTGGCGATTCTTTTTTTTTTTTTTAAGATTTATTTATTTATTCATGAGACACACACAGATAGGCAGAGGGAGAAGCAGACTCCTCGCAGGGAGCCCGATATGGGGCTCGATCCCAGGACCCCGGGATCATGCCCTGAGCTGAAGGCAGATTCTTAACCGCTTAGCCACTCGGGTGCCCAAGGCCCTGGCAATTCTGTATTCACAGTTTCATATTCATAGTTTCATATTCTTTCCTAAAAGAAGGCTCCTCCAGATTGTGTGTGTTTCAGGGTCCCAAAACTTGGAGCAGTGTTCGCAGATCCACAGCCAGGAGAACAGGGGATGTGAGTGGGTGCAGACAGCCCCGTTGGAATAGAGGGACATCCTTAGCCTTCCCCTCTGCTAGACCCTTTGGAGAAGGAAAAGGAGGTGTTGCTCATAATTACCCTGGCTCAACATTAAGTACAACTGTGCCCAACAAACCAGGACATGGGGTCACCCAGCCAGAGGGACCCAAGCTACCTACCTAACTCCACACTTTCCAAAAGCACCGGACATCCACTCCCCCACCCCAACTCAGCCCCACCAGAAGCCATCATTGCTCTTACTTAGAACGTCCTGGTCTGATCAGCCCCTCCATGTATCCCCCACTGGTATCCTCTCTCCTCCACCCCTACCCACCTCCCCAGGCCTCTCCTCCAGGCACTTTCCTGTCACCTCCCTGGTTTCTGCAGAGCCTGGGATGTCTTTGGAAGGAGGATGGAGGAGTGAAGGGAGTCCAGATGTCGAGGCAATGAAATGCACACGAGAGAGGCACCATAGGTTTGGGGTGGACAGAGATTTCTGAAAGGAATACGGTGAGAATTTCAGGCAGGCAGTTTTAGAGCAGGAGTGGAGGAGCAAGTCCGGAGGCAACAAGGACACGGCACAGAAGGAATATCCTGATGGACATTAGTGGCCAGGCCAAGAGTCTCAATATCCTTCCTGCAGCCAACGAGGAGCCTCCGCAGGGATTTGAATAGGCAGGGGTGGCCGCTCTAGCTGCGGTGTAAGGGGCAGGGGGAGAGAAAAAGGGGACCCACTCCAGGGGGCTCACTCCAAGACCTGATTTTAAGCCAGAGCACCCTCCTGACCTAGAGAGCAAAGAAGGTCACCCAGCACCACACATGCTGGGGTCCTTCATCCTCCCCAAAGCTCTGAGAGGCATTGTCACACCCATCTCCCAGGTGAGGAAACAGCCTCGAGGTGCCTTCCCCAGAGACGCGTACAACCCTTAGTGGCAGGTCCAGGCAAAGGACACAGTCTGCTTGACCCTAAAGTCCTTGTTTTCTCCTCTACCCCATGGCACCCAGCAGCCCCTGAAACTCCAAATACAACATGGGGGCCGAGGGAGACTGAAGTCCCCCCATTAGAGACCCTATTAATGTGGGCATTGGGCACTTGCATCTGATCTTAAGGACCCACTCTACTGAATGAGGGCTTTTTAGCCAGAGCAGGGGCGACCAACTGGTATCGTCTCAGGAGTCCACTCTGATTAACCTAAGATAGTGGCTGGAAATGGGGCCTTGGGGGTGGGATCTTAAAGGGATAAATGATCAGCAGGATAGAGCCTCCTGATTGGATACAAATGTCCACCACAGGCTCAGGACAGGCAGGTGACAGCAGGTATGCTGGCTTAAAAATCATCGAGACCATCTTCCTCCAACCACCCCATCTTACAGAGAGAACTGAGCCCCGGGAAAGCAGTAGCAGGTGCAGGACTCAGACTTCCCGCCCCTCAGCCTTGCCCACTTGGCCCTGACACCTTGTCCCTCCTTTCTCCACAGGTTCTGAGCCCAAGCCGTGTGTCCAGCCCTTCGACTCTGGAGCTGCAGCCTCAACCACCGAGAGCAGCGGCAGACCCTGGAGGCCCGAGCACCCAGACTTCCCCACCATGGAGGACGAGCAGGCAGGTGTCTGATGGCTGGGACGGGCAGGAGCACATGACCCCAGTGGCAGCAAGTACACTTTGTTTAGCGCGTGCGCTTTACCAGGCACCTTGTGTGCGTTATTTCAGAGAACTCTTGTTAAGACTTGGCAAGGTAGTTATGATCCCATTCGACAGGTGAGGAGACTGGAATCCTCCCTGGAACAAGAGGAGGGAGGGAAGGATAAGAAGAAGGCAGGTGAATGGATGGATGACAGAAGGAAGAATTGATGGGATGGATGGATGGATGGATGGATGGATGGATGGGACAAAGAAAAGAAGGTTAGACAGGGGGTGGGGACATGGATGGGTGGATGAAATGGGAAGAAAAAGCTTCCATGGAAGGCTCCGAGCTGGAGCATCCCTGCAGAGTGGTCTCAAGTCGGGCTGAGATGGGTGAACCATTACGTCCCCTCATCAACCAGTCGTGGCCTGCGGGCTACCCAGGAAGGGGCCCACAGCCATCTGCTGACAGCCCTCCTAGCGTCTGGGGTGGCAGGTCTTCACGGAAGGGGGCTCTGGGTGGCATTTTACCCTGCCCCCCACACTAAGGAAGGAGGGTCTGCTCAAGGTTCGTTCAGGGCTTTGGACTGAATCTGTAGGCTGCAGGCAGTGGGCAGGTGAAGTGGGCATGGGGGAGCTGCGCGCCTGGGGAGGCAGGGGCCTGGGGAACACAAGGCCGGGCTCTACCCCTCCACCATGAGCCCCTCCACCTGCATCCCTGTCATTGTCATCTACTTCGTCACCTAAGCCAGAGGCCATGGAAAGCGCTGTCCCGGTCCCCACATTCCTCCCCATCACTCAAGCCCTGTGAACTTGACCAACCAGGCCTGCTGATGGGCCCCATCTCCCCCTCCACACCTCCAACCCTAAGCAACTCTTGCCAAGTGTTGGAAGGCACTAGGACCTCTCAAGCCTGCAGGTTTCTTAATGTCCTGTTCTTTAGTCCCCTGGAATGCCCTTGCCTGCAGCCTCAGCCTAGCCAACTCCTATTTGTTCCACATGGCTTTATTCGCTGTCACCTCCTCCAGGAAGGCCCCCTGGTTTGTTTCTTTCTTCCTTGCTTTCTTTGTCTTTATATTTAGTAGGACTTCGTATTGAAATCCTACTGTCTCCTAACTGGTAAGTTGTAGGTCTTTTCTTTCTCTTTTTCCTTATTTTTATGTTTTAAGTAGACTCCATGCCCAATGTGGTGCTTGAACTCATGACCCTGAAATTAAGAGTCAGGTGCTCTACCGACCGAATCAGCCAGGCAACCCAAGATGTAGATCTGTTTAAAATACACGAAACGTGACCAATGCGTGAAACTTGGCCAGTTCAAGAGACTATTTACATGTCATGTGGACCTAATTTTATGTGGTTGGAAATAGGGTTTGGGGGGGTGTTGTTTTGGCTATGGAAGCTGTCTAAAGATTGTCTAGCTTTTCCTAATTGAGTTGTACTTTGTAGGTTTTTTACACCAATGATTACCCTGAGTTTTGCACTTTAAAATAGAGGAGATTTTGTTTAAAGATCTTATTTATCTATTCATGAGAGACATAGAGAAAGAGGCAGAGACATAGGCAGAGAGAGAAGCAGGCTCCCTGCGGGGAGCCCAATGCGGGACTCAATCCCAGGACCCGGGGATCATAACCTGTGCTGAAGGCAGATAGATGCTCAACTGCTGAGCCACCCAGGAGACCCCAGAGGAGATTTTCTAGGTAAAATTCCAATCCAGAATTCCTATCCCAGCAGGCCCAGCTGGACCCCCCCAGCTCTTCTTCAGCCTGCTTCCCGGAACATCCTATCATACTTGATTATAATAGCTGGATTAAACCACCACTCTTATCCAACTAGCTCCAGGAGGGCAGGGGATGGACTGTGTGACTGTATCTGACACAGCCATCAATTTCCTCAGAGGAAGAGCCCTAACTCCCAAAATATGAAAACAACAACCACTGTAAGATCTGCTTCCCCTGATCCGGGGCTTGCAAGGTGCACACATCATCTCATGGTACCCACACAGCAAGTAATCCTCCAAGAAGGCGGCACTGCACCCACTTTACAGATGAGACTACTGAGACGTGGAGAGGGTTTGGGACTTGCCCGAAGTCACTCTGAGCTAATAAAAATGATACGAGGGTGCAAACCTTGACTACAGTTTTCTACGTTGAGCCAATCAAGAACCATCTGCCCTGTCATTTATTTGCTATTTTGTTTGATACCAATCTCCTTTCTTATCTGATAAGATGGAACTAGAGAAACAGTGTGCTTAAAGTTGCTTTGGCAGGCCATGGCTTACTAATTTACCATGAAGTAAATAACCACTCACACTTGTAAAAAACAGTTTATCCGTGTACTACCAAAATCTGCACACAGTAAGCCCTTCCGCAGAGTGAGCATTCCTGGGACAGCTCGCCTCTGAGTCTGACCGGGGGAGCCCATCCCCCAAGGCTCCTCAGGATCCACGCAGCAAGAGCCTGGATTTATTGCATCCTCTCTGGGGTGTCAGGGCCACCATACACTGATTAGTCAGATGCCTGGAAAGGCCCTCATTGGGCCGACTCCCGCCTTTTCTCACTCAGGCAATATTTATGGAGGATAGATTCAGGCTCCCAAGCAAAGGGTGAGGCCTCCCTTGCCCCCCCACCCCATATACCTGCTGTTGGGAGCTAGGACAGCCTGTGCCCGCAGCCACCCACCACCCCTGCCACCCCCAGCTCTGGCCAAGTTCCCACTTCTGCCTCCGGTGAGGGAGGCCAGATGCAGGAGAGGGAGAGGGGGCCTGGTCCAGGCCAAGAGGCTGTCCTGACATGTTTATATTTACAGAAGGATAAAAACCAGAGACACAAGAAAACCTTTCGGGCAGTGGCAGAGGAGACGGAGTCATTAGAGGTTGTCCAGGCACCGGGGGTGGGACTGGGGTGATTTGGGGAACGGGGAGACCCGCCAGGAGGCTGCTGCCCAGGTCACAGGAGGGGCAGGCGAGCCTGAGCCACGCAGGACCAGAGACATGGGTTCTCCCACAGAGACAGAGGAAGAGGGACCCACGTGTATAAAAGGACAGAGGGAAGAAGCAGAGGCAGAGAAGGAGCAGCCAGGGAGGTGGGAAGGACAAAGATCAACGAGTGCAAAGGAGAGATTCCAGAAAGGGAGGCCGTGAGAACAGTACAGCGCGTGCTCCAGAAGTCAAACCCAGAAACACTGCCCACTCCAGCAATTCCACTTCTGGATATCTACCCCAAAAAGCTGAAAGCAAGGATGGGGAGCCTGGGTGGCTCAGTCGGTTAAGCGTCTGCCTTTGGCTCAGGTCATGACCCCGGGGTCCTGAGATGGAGCCTCGTGTTGGGCTCCCTGTTCATGTTCTCTCTCTCTCTCTCTCTAATAAATAGAGTTGAAAGCAGGGCCTCGAATAGCTATTTGTGTGCCCACGTTCAAATTCAAAGATTTGGGGGATCCCTGGGTGGCTCAGCGGTTTAGCGCCTGCCTTTGACCCAGGGCATGATCCTGGAGTCCCGGGATCGAGTCCCACATCAGGCTCCCTGCATGGAGCCTGCTACTCCCTCCTGTGAATCTGCCTCTCTCTCTCTCTCTCTATGTCTATCATAAATAAATAAATAAATAAATAAATAAATAAATAAATAAATAAATAAATCTTTAAAAAAAAAAAAAACAAATTCAAAGATTTGAATGTCAAATAGCACAGTGTTGGGATCCCTGGGTGGCGCAGCGGTTTGGCGCCTGCCTTTGGCCCAGGGCGCGATCCTAGAGACCCGGGATCGAATCCCATGTCGGGCTCCCGGTGCATGGAGCCTGCTTCTCCCTCTGCCTGTGTCTCTGCCTCTCTCTGTCTCTCTCTATCATAAATAAATAAAAATTTAAAAAAAAAAGTATCAAATAGCACAGTGTTGACAGCAGGCTCCACGACAGCCAAAGGTGTCCGTCGCGGGATGAATGGGTAAACAACACGTGGTTTAGCTGATTGTCCATACAACGCGCTCCTTGCGGACGAGGGAGTGTTATTCAGCCTTAAAAAGGAATGCAGTTCTGATCCATGCTAGGATATGGATGAACTTGAAAACATTAATGCTAAGTGAAAGAAGCCAGACACAAAAGGACAAATACTGTAGGAGTCCACTTACACGAGGTCCCTCAAATAGGCAAATTCGTAGACAGGCAGCAGGTTAGAAGTTTCCAGTGTGTGCCGCTGAGCTGCACACTCAAAAATGGTCCAAATGGCAAATGTTATGTCGCGTCTATTTTAGCACAGTGACAGAGAAGAAGGGGTAAAAACTATGGAGAGCTCCAAGCCGGTGAGATCAGGAGGGAACAGCCAGATCCCGCATAGCTCCTCCCCTTTCTGGGGACCTTCAACTTTGAATTGGAAGCTTCTCTGAAAATCCCTGATGCCAAGCATTAGCAGGGGCTTCTCTGTTCTCCTTCGCCTGCTGAGGACTGGCCCTCCCTGGCCAAATGGCCCAAGGTTAGGGTTGCAAGATTGAGCAAACAATATTATAGGATGTCTAGTTAGATTTGAATGTCAAATAGTGCAATGTTTTGGGATATACCTATGCTACAGAAATATATGTTGTTTACTGAAATTCAAATTTAACTGAGGGCCATGTATTTTATCTGGAAATCCTACCCTAGGGGATTTTTTTTTTAAAGATTTAATTTCTTTATTAGAGAAAGAGAGAGAGCGTGTGCACCAGGGTTGGGGAGGGATGGAGGGAGAGGGAGAAGACTCTACGCTGAGTGGGGAAACCAACACAAGACTCAATCCCAGGATCCCGAGATCATGACCTGAGCTGAATTCAGATGCTTAACCAATTGAGTCACCCAGGTGCCCCGGGGGACTTTTTTTTTTTTTTTTAAGATTTTATTTATTTTTTCATGACAGACACCGAGAGGGAGGCAGAGACACAGGCAGAGGGAGAAGTAGGCTTCCTGCAGGGAGCCAGACGTGGGACTCGATCCCCGGACTCCAGGATCACGCCCTGGGCCCAAGGCAGATGCTCAACCGCTGAGCCACCCAAGGGTCACCGGGGGACTTTTTATTTTTAATCACGTTTATTAACATCATCACCAATCTTTTGATTTATTCATTTAAAAAGTAATATCTATGCCCAATATGGGACTTGAACTCATGACCTCAAGATCAAGAGCTGCGTGTTCAGGGCACCGGGGTGGCTCAATTGCTTAAGCATCCAACTCATGGCTTCAGCTCAGGTCATAATCTCAAGGTCCTGGGATTGAGTCCTGCATCAGGCTCCCTGCATGGAGCCTGCTTCTCCCTCTGCCTGTGTCTCTGCCTTTCTCTCTGTGTCTCTCATGAATAAATAAATAAAATCTTTAAAAGCAAGCAAGCAAGCAAGCAAGCATGGGGCTTGGATCCAGACAGACCTGTTGGAGTCCCGCTCTGCCGTTGGTTGGCGGTGTGATCCAGGGGGAGTCCTCCTTCCTCCTTGAGCCTCAGTCTTCTGATCTGGAAAGTGGGATAACAATGCCCCCTGGTGGGGCTGCTGTGGCATTAGGGATAAGTCGCAATTGGTTCGGGGTGGCAATGTTGGGGCTGTGGCTCCGGGCGCGTGGCGGTCCACATCTGTGCACCTTCAGTGTCTACCAGCACCTGGCACACTGCTGCCTCGCGGTGGGTGGTGGCATGAGGCACGTGCTCCCTGGGCATCTACCTGTCGGGTAGGGGAAGCTATTGGCTTATGCGCTGGGGTGTCCCAGACTCTGGTAGGAGGGAGCAGGGCCAGGAATAGGGCCGTGAGCCAGGTGAGTGGTACAAGCACAGGGGCCGATACTGTCATTATTTAACATTTTGGCAACGCACCCATTGTGGATCTCCTTGCTTTACTCTTATATGCACACCCACATATGATGTTTCTGGATTTCTTGGTGAGAGGGCACCCAGTCTGATTTTGTGCCTGAAGCAAGGTCCTTACTTGCCTCACCCCAGCCCCAGCCAGGGAGGGAGACTTGGGAAGCCAAGAGCCCCATGAGGAGATGCTTCAAGCAGCCCAGGAGCACGACGGGGAGCCCCGACACTGCCTGAATTCTTGCCATTAGCGTCCAGGGTGACTCCACTCCAAGCAGCACTTCTACAAAGTGCACTCAGAGACTTTGAACATTGAACAAGTCGGGGTAGGGGGCAGGGCAGAGGTCATTACGTCCCTTTCCTAAGCCTAGCAGAGGGGAAGTCACCTAGTGAGGTGGAGTCAGGGCTAGAAGCCTGGACTTCCAGCCCCTTCTTTGAGATGAGGCCTTGAGGGACAGGTTAGAGTGCTAAGGGGACAAACCCCCACCTGGCATGAGGAGGGCGCTGAGCCCAGGCTGGACCGGAGGGGGATGGCGGGACTTGGGGCTGGGGCCTCTGCTGCCCTGGGTCAACAGCTTCTTCTCCCCCCACCCCGGCCTGCAGGAGGATGGTATTCCCCAGTTCTGCGACAGCTTGGAGGATCTGGATCTGGGAGCCCTGCAGGGCAGCGAGTATCTCCAGGACCTGGGCCTTGGGGCCTTTGCCGACAGCCAGCCAGAGGGGCCCAGGGACAGTGGCCCCACCAGCGAAGAGGCTGGAGGAGAATCCACCCTCTCCAGCTCAGCAGAGCCGCAGACCCTGCCTCGGAGACGCAGCTGGGAGAGGTCACGGAGCTGCTCTGAGAGCTGGGAAAGGTCAGCCCGCCACTGACACACTCCCAGGAGGGGACAGGGCCCCACCCCCTGCAGGCCACACCGGGGTGTCTGCACTGTCACAGGCAGCCCAAAGGACCCCCTCCTGAGATACACAGAGCCTGTGGGGGCTTGCAAGTCCTCGGCACAGGCAAGCGCTCGCTGAGCGAGTAAGCGTGCACAACCCCAAAATGAAGACTGTGTGCTCACGCTGCAGGCACACACAACCCCAAACACGAGCACTTGCCCATACACACTGGGTGTACATGCCTGCAGGCTTGCACACTCACCCCGCTCCAACCCATACACAAAAGCCGAAACGTGTGACAAGCACACTGGTCACACACAGACGATGCGCAAAGCCATAGATGCGCTTGTGATTAAAACACAGACGTGTGCTTGACTCCACACACAGCAGGAGCCCCAAACAGCAGAGGGGGTGCGTTAGCCACCCCCACCTGCCTCCCTCAACCCCTCCCAAGCCACCGCAAATAGAAATCTATTCTGTGTAAAATTGTCGTGTCTGCTACGCAAAGACATGGATGTCCCTGCAGGTTCCCAGCAAGGCTCCCCGGCCACCCCTCTGATATAGGGAGACTGAACACCTCTCTGCATTCTGACCACTCCTCCCTGCCCCAGAAGGATCCATGGCAGGTTCCCCCAGGCCCCTGGGGCTACCACCAGGTGGAAGAAACACACTAAAGACCTGATTTCCTCGTTTCTTCCACCAGGCTCAGCTTCAATGCCTCGGCTGTGAACGAGGGGCCCTGTCTCCCTCGGACACTGGCCAGCCTTGCTCTGAACCAGCCGGGAGAGGATCTGCAGGCCTGGACCAAAGAGTGTCTGTCCAGGGCTGGGACCCCAGCAGAGCACCCAGGCAAGGTGGGTGCAACCTGCAGCCACCCCGACAATAACACAAGTCTGAGCCCAGGGGCCAGTGTGACAGGTGGGAAGGAGATTCTTACCCATAAGCTGGTAGGACTGACCTGTCACAGCGGGGTTAGCCATGGGGTGGACTCCCCAGGACTGGGGAGTCAAGTCCTGAGATTCCAGCCCAGGCCTGAGGGTTCTTCGTTGGGGTGGGGTCCACAGTAGGGGATGCTCAATTCCAAGCACAAGCCATGATCTAGGAGGCAGGGGAGCTGGTCTCCCCATCTTTGCAGCTGGAAGGAAGCCCCACCCATGGCTGGGTAGATCTGGTCTCAGGTCTGGGATTCTAGCCTCAGGGCTGTGGCCTGTGGCTGGGGCATCTTTGCCCAGGACCACGACCTGGGGAGAAATCCCTGATGGGCTGAAATCTGGAGCATAGAGTTTTGGGGCTCCAGTCCAGAGCCGGGGTAGTCCTTGGCCAGGACTCCAGCCCATGGCTGGGGAAGGTTTGGCTCCAGCCCTCAGCCATGGCTATAGAGATCCATCCCCATGCCCTGTGGCTGAGGGGAGCCCTACCTGCGCCCGGGGGCTGGGGCTGTGGACCCTCCCTCTAGGGAGCCTGCCTGCAGCCCAGGCTGCCTCCCTGGCTTAGCGAGATGCTTATTCCCCGCAGGAATGTGACAGCCCTGAGAAAAGAGTGAGGTCACGGTCGGTTCCCCTGTCCTTCGATGAGATCAGCTCCCTGGAAATCTCTCGGGCTTTGGAGGTGCCCACTCCAGCTCCTCAAGGTAGCCCAGCCTGGGGGGTTCCCTCATTCAAACCAGGAAGGGTAGGGGGTTTCTGCTGGGGGGTTCCCTGGATGGGGCCCCAGATGGGCCTGAGAGGGGAAAGGGTTACTCCTGGAGGGGGCTGAGGGTCCCATGTGCAGGGACTGAGCAGAATTCCTTGGGGGGGGTGGTAGTAGGGTGGGGGAGAGGTAACCCGCTTCTGCCCCTCCCCTCCCCTCAGGTCTCTAGGCAGAGTGGGCGGTGCCACCACCATCTCCTTGCTCCCTTAGGGCTCTTCTTCTGTCTCTACCTCTGGCCTCTTTTTTATCTCCCTTTTTATCTCTGAATCTCCGTCCTAAGAGCTTGCGTCTTTCTGCTGTCAGATAGACCTGCCGTCTAAACCCAAACCTAGCGCTTCTAGCAAGTCTCTGAGCCTTGTGGCTTTCTCTATAAGGATGGAGCAATTAGGGGCGCCTGGGCGGCTCAGGCAGTTAAGCGTCCGACTCTTGGTCTTGGCTCACGTCCTGATCTCAGGGTCGTGAGATGGAGCCTCGTGGTGGCTCCACACTCAGCTGGGAGTCGGCTTGAGATTCTCTCTCCCTCTCGTTGGCACACTCTCTCTCTAAAATAAATAAATATAAAAAAGAGAAAGAGAGAATGGAACAACGAGCATATCTCCTTAGGGTTACTTGGGGTGTCCACTGAATGCACATGTGCAAAGTGCTTAGCACATCAGAAGCCCTCTGGGGACACAGGGGCTCACCTCCAAGCACCTCCTCCAAGCTTGAGCTCTCCAAGCTCACTGCCCTCCTGGCGCCTCCCCTCCCCGAATGGCGAGCCCCATCTGGACAGTCTCTAGTTCTGCAGGGATGGGACACAGGGGGCCCGTGCAGAGGCCCCTCACCTTTACCTCCTGGGTGGGGGCTGCTTCCAGGTCTGGCGCCCCCGGTGCTGGAGTGCATGGAGAAGGACCATGTGGAACCAGAGCATGTGTGAGTGTCTGCCTCATGGTGGGGGAGGGGACCCCAGCAGACAGCCACGGGGTCAAGGCTGGGGTCCCTCCCGAATCCCCCCTGACCTCCATCTTCTCTCTCCCACACCATCCTTTCCCCAGAGGAGAGACACAGGCCTCTCAGGTTCTGATGTAGCATCAGGGGAGGGGTTGGGTCTCCTGGTCAGGGTCTGCATCAGGACCGGGACCTGGTTGGGCAATCATGGTCAGGGTCTGCATCAGGACCGGGACCTGGTTGGGCAATCATGGTCAGGGTCTGCATCAGGACTGGGACCTGGTTGGGCAATCACAGCTCGTCTTGGGGGATATGTCTACACCCCGGGGCAACTATGAGCTGTTTTTATCCACACTTCCCCCTGCCCCCTGCCCCAGGCTGATTGTCCAGCAGGTGCTTGAAGAACTTCGACATTACCACGGGTGAGTGGGAAGCGGGCAGGTGTGAGGATGCAGGGGTGGGAAGACAGCTGGGGAGGACAAGTAGAGGGAACAGAGTAGGAGTGGACAGGTGGGGGGACAGGTGCGGAGAAGACGGGAAGACGGGAGCAGGGGCGGGGGGGGGGGGAATAGGGACAGGAGAGGTGGGGGAGGGACAAATGTGCGAAAGGGCAGGGGACACGAGCCGGGGAGGAGCGAGCCCATGAGATAGCTTCGCACAAATGGAAATTGGTGCCTCTTGCCCAAGACACTGCCATTTGCTAGAAAATCTTCCTGACCTGCTGATTTTGTCTGACCAGGATGTGTTACCACCCTCTGCTGGAAAACCAGCCACAGTGACCATGGATAGAGCCCACGGTGGGAGGAATGGTGGCTCCTGGGCACATGGGATCTGGCTCCTGGGCACATGGGAGCGCTGGGTGAGAGAGGCAGGAGATGGGGCAGGATGGGGATGGAGGGGCTTCTGACCCAGGTCTCTGTCCCCTCTGACCCTGCAGGGCTCGGCAGAGAGCTCGCTTGTCCGTCAGCCCCGCAGGAGGCCACTCAAACCTCACCTGGTTTGAGTTCCTGTCTGAGTAAGTATGCTGAGCTACCCCAGCTGGGAGCGTTGGGCCGGGGCCTGCACTGTCTCTGCACATGCTTACCAGTGGGGCTCTGTGCGGGTCCCTAAGCCGGGGGCAGGAGGCCGAGCCCCCATTCTCTCAAGGGAACTGCCAGGGCAAGGGTGGTGGTGGGGCCTGGAGAGGCTCCTCATACACCCTGGGAGGGCAGAGGAAGACTTCCTGGAGGAGGTGACAGTTTGTGCTGGTTTCCAACAGAAGAGTAGTAGGAGTTCACCAACACATGGAGAGAAGGATGGGGGAAATAAAGAGGCGCCTTCCTGGAGACGGGGCAAGGCCGAAGGAATGGTGTCAGGCGGGGCTGGGCAGAGGGAAGGTGAGGGGAGTCAGCAGAGGCCAGATCACCTTGGTGACACTAGGTGACTGATAATGCTGAGCACAGACAGGGCTGGGGGGCGGGCAGGGGCTGCAGACCCGAGGTGTGCAATCTCCCTCCAGTGAATAAATTCTGCAGGGGCTGGCTTTGTTCGCCGCTGACTTAATAAATACAGCTGATCTTTGAACAACACAGGTTTGAACTCTATAGGTCCACTTACATATGGATTTTTTTTAATAATAAATAGAATATAGGTCTGTAAATGTATTTTCTCTCGTGATTTTCTTCAAGGAACTTTCTTTTCTCTGGCTTACTTTATTGTTAGGACACAGAATCTAATACCTATAACATACAGACTATGTGTTCATTGACCGTTGGCATATCAGCAAGGCTTCTGATCAACAGTAGGGTATGAGTATGGGGGACTCAGAAGTTATATATGGATTTTTCATGTGTAAGGGCTTGGTGCCCCTAACCCCTACGTTGTTCAAGGGTCGACTATATTTATTAAACAAGGGAGTACCAGGGATCCAGGAGAGACGTGACAGTGATCTGGGACTGGGGTGTTAGGGGGAAGAGGGGAGCAGGATTTAGGGATACCCCAAAGGAAGAAGGAGCAGGATTTTTAGGCTGATTAGATACTGAGGTCGGGGGTGAATCAGAAGGAAGAGGCAGAAACAGACAGAGCCCAGATTTCCAGCCTGGGCCTGCTGAGGGACCCCAAGCTCGAGACCATGTCACAGTCCCCTCTGTCCACCCATGCTCCCCAGTTCCTGGAATTTTGCAATCATCCATAAATGTTTGTTGAGTGAATAAGTGAGAGGTGGAAGGAGAGAGAGTTCAGGGACCTCAGAAGAAGTGTAACGGGACTAGGGGCCTCGGGGAGGAGACAAATGCTAGGTGGGGTCCAGGGGCAACCTGCAGGACAGGTCCCTGCTGCCCCTCTTCCCCTCCTCGTTCATCTTTCCACCCCTTAGGAGCGAGGACGGTGCCAGCAAGACTGAGCGGCGTGACAGGAGCACCAGGGTGAAGCGCAGACTGAGCTCCCTGCGCTGTCGGGTCACCAGGCAGAAGGAGAAGGTCAGGGGGCCGGGGCACCTCCCTCTCCCTTCACTGGCTTTTCCGTAGGCCCCTGGCCCTGGAGTCCTGCGATTCGAGGTAGGTCAGAATGCACGAGGCATTTTAAGGTTCACCTCTGTCCCCCCACAGGGGAAGAACCCAACGCCTGCAAAGGACAAGGGTCAGGATGCTAGAGAGAGGAAGGAATGTATCAACGGGCACCAGCTGGCGCAGGGAACCTTCCTCGGCCACCCCAGCTGCCCCCTGTGTGGCAAACCCTTTCTGAGCTCTGGTAAGTCCCGTGGCCCGGCCCAGTCCTCAGGATGGCAGCCACTTTCTCTCCTTGATTGCCTCTCCTCTCTCGTGGCCTCCTTTGCCTGTTGCATCTTCATCCCATTTCGTCCTTGCCAAGTGGGGGCTGACCTCAGCTCCCTGGAGAGCACAAGGTCTCTAAGAGCAGGGACCCTGTCGTTATTTCATGGCCCACAAAATACCTCTAAGTCTCAGCTTTTGTCACTGGAAAACCCCTCAGGCAGTGTATTAGTCAGCGAGGGCTGCCTCATGAAATACCACAGTCTGGGAGGTTCGAAGAACAGAATTGTACAGTTGGCCCCTGAACGACCCAGGAGGTGGCGGGTAGGGACGCTGACAACCCCCCTATAGTCGACAATCTGCATGTAACGCTTGGCACTATCTTGGTACAACAGACTAACTCTTCCTCCCCCCCCCAAGAGAGGGTGGGTCACCCCTTTTCTCCCCTCGACTTTTGATTTTGGAATCACATCAAAGTGGAGAGAGCAGAGAGGGCGCCCTTCTAACTTTCACCCAAGTTCCCGGCATGGGAGCATCTTCTGTGACCACAGCACGTTTGTCACAACTTAGGAATCAACAGTGGTGCAGCATCATTAATCAAACTGCAGATTTTCCTCAGGTGTCACCAGGTTTCATGGTTCCACTTGGGTTCTCTCGGTTTCAGGACCCAATTCAGAATTCCGTGTTGTCTTTAATCATCCTGTCTCCCTGGTCTCTCTGGGCCGTGGAGGTTTCTCAGTCTTTCCTTATTGTTCATGACCTTGACAGCCTTGAGAGATATTAGCAGGTGTCTAGGACAACCCCACCCCCCAATCTGGATTTGTCTGATGTTTTCTTATAATCAGACAAGGTTATGGGTTCAGGAAACTTCTTGCCTCATCCGATCAGGGGGTAAGTGCTATCGATCTCACGTCCCTGAGGATGTTAACCTTCATCCCCTGGTTAAGATAATACTTGCCAGGTTATTAATTTATTTCCCCCTTTGCATGCTCTATTCTTTGGAAGCAAGTAATTCAATCCAGCCCACTCTCAGGATGGTGGCAATCAAGCCCCCACCTCCTGGATACAACATTTGATTTTTCAGGACAGGAATTTGAGGTCACAGAAGATTTGGGTTTGTGTAAAAGAAAATATATGGGTTGCCCTTAGCATAGTGCCTGGTATATACAGGCAATGGTAGTGTCCATCCTCTTCCTCCTCATCATCATGTGTTGTTGAGTGAAAGCTAGCATCTACATCGCAGACCCACAACCATGGGCTTTGACCACAGATCCCACACTTGTGTAGGAGGTCTGTGAGGCCAGAACAGCTGTGGCTCACTCCCAACAGGCTAAGAGCAGACAACTCCCGGGTATAGCCACAAGCCTATCTACCCCTGGAGGTATTCAAAGCCAGATGTTACTATCCGTCCCTTAGAGGAAGCAGCCCTTTAGTAAGTTAAACAGAGCAGGGAATGAGTCACACTTCAGGTAATTATGGAAGGTTGGTCCCCAGGGTAAAGCTGAGATGGTTTCCCAGAGGCCAGCCCCACGGACAGAACACCATTCCAGACCTTGACCTCTGAGGTTTTCCATGGCCTGACCTCACCTACCTGTCACTTTTCCCTTCCACTACTCAGCCACCACGAAGTCTCCTGGCTGCCCATACACATCACCTGCGCTTTTGCTCGCTCAGTGCTGTTCCTGGAACTCCTCTGGCCACCTGACTCTTGCTCACCCTTTAGGACAAAGCCAGGGCCACCTCCCCCAGGAAGCTTGGATTGTGGATTGGGCGACTGTATCAGTGTCTGAGTGTCTCTTAGGCCAGTTGCTGTCCTCCAAGGGGACGTTGGCGATATCTGAAGGCATTTCTGTTGTGGTGGTCAGGACTGGGGTACTGCTTGCACCTAAGTGGATAGAGGCCAGGGGTGCTGTTCAACATCTTCCGATTCACAGAACAGCCCCCAACAAGAGGCAATTACCCAGCCCCAGCTGTCAACAGTGCCAAGACTGAGAAACACTGTCATAGACTTACGTTCCCTGTGTCTCTGTAGCTCTCAGCAGAGTCCTTGACCCATGAGAAGGACATAATAAATGTACAATAGTAAGAAAGATAAAAGATAGACAAGAGATACCTCTTCTTGTTGCCAAGCTCCTTGAGAAAGTTGGTTTCTACATTTAGGGGAGATCTGTGTTAACCTGAAGGTTTCTATAACCAAGACAGCTATAGAAATAAGGATTGTGCCACGTTTCCTGCTTAAAATTTTCAATGGCTCCACTGCCTTTGCAATAAAGTCCAAAAGTCATAGGAACTCAGAGAGTGAACGTTTACACATCCATTGAGACCTCAAAAGTACCTGGGTCAGGGTTTCTGACCTCTAATGAAGCATGTCCTTGCACTTCTGGAACTTCCAATTTCCCGGTGGTGCTCTCTCTCTTGACCATGGCAAAATGGACTTAAACTGAAGCCAGGTCACGTGGGGACCCTGCCACCCTGTTTCGGAACTGAGGGCTCCCGACCACAGACTGTGGGTGTTTTGAAGTGAGTTTGGCTTGGAAGGATCTCGGCCTGCTTGGCCGGCGTGAACCCGGCAAAAGAAGCGCTTGGCTCCTCTCCTGGGTTCTGCCCAGCTGCCTCAGCAGTGGTGGGCCCGGATTGGAACAAGCAGCCTCCGGGGCTGGGAAGTCTGATGGCACCTGAGCGGGGTGGCGGCGCTGGGGGAGGCATCTGGCATGTCTTTGGGTGTCTAAGAACACCTGTGTGTGTGTGGGGGGGGAGAGCTGGCATGTATTTTAGGCGCTGAATACCTGTTTTGGAGTTTCTGGCATGTGTTTTGGCGGAGTGTCTCTAAGTTTGCAAGTAGGGTCTCTGGCATGCTTCTGTAGGGCTCCTGGGTGAAAACGTCTGGTACTTTTGGGTATTTGGCATGCTTTTCAGTCTGGATATTTTGGAGTAACTGACGAGGTGGGGCGTTGACCTATTTGGGGGTAGGCGGCCCCATGTCTTGAGTATCTGATGACACCTGTCTGGGTATCCGGTGTGGTGGGGGGCATCCGGCTGTACCCAGGTTGGGGTGTCTGGGACCCCCTGAGAGGCATATGGCTTATTTTCCCCAGATGTGTCTAGCTTCCTGTGATCGGCGCTGCCCCTTGTCCGCAGGTGACGGACCTGTTTTCTCCAGGGGCTTGCACCCTGCCCCCAGGCTTCTCACCCCAGGCTCGATCCCCGTAGACGTGCCCGGGCGCCCCCACCCCCACCCCCGCGGATCCCCCCCCGAGGATCGCCCTTATCCCCATCGCGAGGACCCTCCCGGTTCGGTCCCGGGGTCCCCCACAAGACCCCCCTCCCCGCCGGGTCCCCGCGCTGCCCCTGGCAAAGTCTGCAGCTCCCTGGCCCCGCGAGCCCCCGCGAGCCCCCGCGAGCCCCCGCGAGCCCCCGCGAGCCCCCGCGAGCCCCGCCCCCTTCCGGGGCCACGCCCCCTGTCCCGCCTTCGGGGCGGGGTCGCGCTTGCGCAGCTCGCCCGCGCGGCTTCCCGCTTCCGGCCCCGGGGCCGCGGGCCACTGTGGATCGGAGGAGGCCGGGCGGCAGCGGCGGCGGCAGCAGCGGCAGCGGCAGCGGCGGCGGCGAGCGGCCTGCGGGGGACCGGGCCGAGGTGAGGGCAGCGGGGCGAACGGAGGCTCGGGAGGGAGGCCTCGTGCCTCGGGCAGGCGCCGTCGGGCCCCGGGGGGGCGGCCTCGGGCGCGGGACCCCCGGGGCTGCCTCAGCCTCGGGCCGGCCCCCCCCCCATCCCGGACCCCTCGGAGCCGGCGGGCGGGTCCTGCCGGTCAGGCTGCCCCTTCAGTGCATGGGGGCTCTGGCTGGCGAATGCGGGGGTGCGGACGATGCCCGGCGGCCCTCTCGGAGCTCCTGCCCTAGGGCGGTGCAGCCTCCCCCGGCTCGGGAGCGGGAGGTCACCAGGCTCCGGGTTGAGGAGCGCCCGGGGCAGGACCGGGGCCGTAGTGATAACCGTCAGCCGTAACCCGCGCCGCGCTGCAGCTTCTCTGCCGAGAACTCGCTCCCTGGAGTGGACGCCCTCCGCTCGGGGGAGCTTCAGGGGGCAGCCAAACCGAGTCTTCCTTACCCCGGTTCCCCGTGGAAGAATTTAGACGATGCAGGGCAGCCTTCACTGCACGGAGGGATCCGAGGCCCTTGATCCTTGCATGGTTTGTGGTAGTTATTTTCTCCCTGTCCTTTTTTTTTTTTTTTTTTTTTTTTTTCCTTACCTGTTGCTCTGTTGAGATGGAAGCGTTAGAAGAGATGGCTGGTGCAGAGTCTACAAAGTTTTCCTGGGCGGGAAAAGAAAAAAAAAAAGTTTTCTTTCAAGTGTTACCGTGGAAGTGAATGAAGAGCACAGCTCTGCCCCCCACCCCCCACCCCTTCGACTCTTTTGGGGAGAGTGGAGCTCCAGCCAAAAGCCTTAAAGCGCCTCTTTCTTCTTGTTGGGTAGAGAGAGAGTTCAGGACAGCTTGATGAACAGCCCCATGGCCAAGGGCGGTTTGGGGATGATTTTGCAGGTATCTGGGTGAATGATTAATCCTGCAGCTGTGTGGAGAACTGTCAAGAGCGCAGGTTTGAGAGTCAAATCAGATCTGGGTGCTGGTCTCAGTTGTACCACCTACTCGCCATGTAGCCTTGCAGCCTTGCTAAGCCTCGGTTCCCCACCCCCCACCCCCTCTTTAAAATGGGAATAAGGATTAGTTAGAGATTCGATGAGGTAATATGTGTAACGTGCATAGCAGAGTCCCTGGCATATAGTGAATGCTCAATAAATGTCATAGAGTCTGTGTTATATATGTGCATGCCCCCTCCCGCCCCCCAGGCCTGTGTTTTCAGGTTGACACTGCAAATAATAAAGAGTCTGGAACACTTGAGCATCTCGCTTCTTGTTTGGACTGGGTCAGAGCGTCCACTTTACCAGGAGTTTGCTATTTGGTGGATCAAGCCCTTTAGAGAAAAAGGTCCTAAAGTGAGTAAGAGCATAACGCCAGAAAGCCAAGATAAATTCAATTCTTGTAAACATTTGTCTGGGTTTATTATATAGCTTATTTTCCTTTTAGGGGGCATGCCTAGAGAAATGGAAAAAGCGATTCTTTGATTCTTTTCTTCCTTTCTCTTTTTCCTAAGTTGACTTGAGAATGCCCCCACTTTGAAAGCTGAAGTGGCACATACATTGTTTCTGGCATAAGCTATGTTATAATTTTCATTCTTGTCACACAGTAGCAATTACCACTGGCTGCAGGGCCATTACCCTTGTCACCAGCCCCTGGGACTAGGGCTGTGGTCACCAGCTGTGCCTCCCTGGGTGTTTACCTACCACATGTTTAGCATATTTCTGATCCTTGTGTCAAGGTCTCCTTCATTCTTCCTCTTTCACCCTAGGTCCTGTTTCCATTTCTTCAAATTCCCTCTAAGACTTTGAAAACCTTTTCATCTCAGCACTCTTTAAGTAATTTAAAACTCTACAGAGTCCAAACAATTTGTTTCTTTGTTATTTATTAGTTGAATTCTACCCACCACCCCCCAAAGTGGTAGAGAGCAGCTATGTTTTGAAAACCCTTTCTCCAGGTGCAAAATAATTCCTGTAGCAGCTCTGGAGCTGCCCTTAGGAATTTTCTGGAGGAGGAATGTGACTGATGGGGGAGGGGGTGAACTGATTAAAATAATGTCCTCAGTAAAAGGGCCCCTGCTGGGGTGCTTATTTTTTGTTGTTAAAATTGCCCTTGAGTGTAAGATTCAACTTGCTTCCTCCTCCCCTTTTCTTTTGAGACAGTTTTCAACTGAGTATAAAGTTGCAGTTGGTTGTGTTCAAAGTAGCAAATACAAATTTAAAAAAGTTGATTTAGGGATCCCTGGGTGGCGCAGCGGTTTGGCGCCTGCCTTTGGCCCAGGGCGCGATCCTGGAGACCCGGGATCGAATCCCACGTCGGGCTCCCGGTGCATGGAGCCTGCTTCTCCCTCTGCCTATGTCTCTGCCTCTCTCTCTCTCTGTGTGTGTGTGTGACTATCATAAATAAATAAAAAATTTTAAAAAAAAGTTGATTTACATCATATCATGAAAAAAAATTCTTTTTTTTTTAAGATTTTATTATTTATTCATGACAGAGCAAAAGAGAGAGAGAGAGAGAGAGAGAGAGAGAGAGAGGTAGAGACACTGGCAGAGGGAGAAGCAGGCTCCCTGCAGGGAGCTCATTGTGGGACTTGATCCCAGGACTCTAGGATCACGCACTGGGCGGAAAGCAGACACTCAACTGCTGAGCCACCCAGGGATCCCGTGAAAAAAAAAATTCTAAAGATTCAACTAAGAAAAAAAAAAAGAAAAGAAAAAAAAAAGATTCAACTAAGAATATACATTTAACACATCGTGGGTGGTTACATTTTAAACTTATGTCACTCCTTTTTCCCCCTCTTAGTATAGCAACTTTATTGAGCTATAATTCAAGTACCATAAAATTCACCCTTTTAAAATGTGCCATTCAGTGGATTTTAATACTTTCACAGAGTTGTGCAACTGTCACCACTGTCTAATTCAGAACATTTTGTCATCTGGTTATTTTTGTGAGTGAGTTTCAGGAGGTGAGTTGAGAAAGGCCAAAAAAAAAAAAAAAAAAAGAGGTGGTCTAAGCAGGTGCCCCCTGGCTCCATTGCAGCGTGGGGCAGAGGGAGGAAAGGACCTTAGCTGGAATCCAGCATGTTCCCGTGCACAAGGACATTTATGTACTGTTTATGGATAGCTCTGATTTGCTGAGCGAAATTGACTTTAGAAAGAGTAATAAATAGAGGAGCCATCCACAGTAGTGGTGTTAGTTAATGAGTTTACTAGTCCCCTCACAAGATTGAAATGGAGGGACCCCTGGGTGGCTCAGTGGTTGAGCGTCTGTCTTCCGCCCAGGCCATGATCCCGGTGTCTCGGGATCGGATCGAGTCCCACATCGAGTTCCCTGCATGGAGCCTGCTTCTCTCTCTGCCTGTGTCTCGGCCTCTCTCTCTCTTTCATGAATAAATAAATAAAATCTTTTTTAAAAAAATGAAATAGATAAGTAACTGACCAGACATAATAGAGAGCAAAGAACAGCATTTGTGGGCATAGGAAGCAGGAAGGGAGTCAGCTCTGTGGTGCTCATAATACCAGGATGTGGTGATTGATGGCTCTTGTGATCTTCTGCAATGTCCACTTGGAGGCTCCTAATCAAAGAATTTAAAGAGGGATGGGAAGATGAAAAAACTGAGACCCTCCTCTATACTGCTAGTAGGGCCGTAAGATGGGGCAGCCACAGTGGAAAACGAGTCTGGCGGTTCCTCAAAAAGTTAAACACAGAGCTACCATATGATCGAGCAATTCCACTCCTAGGTATATACCTGAGAGGGATGAATATAGGTCTGCACAGAGATTGGTACACAGATGTTCACAGGAGTGTTATTCACAGTAGCCAAAAAGTGAAAACAATCCAGATGTCTATCAGATGAATGGAAAAATAAAATGTGATCCAGCTATACAATATTAGCAATAAAAAGTAATGCCATTCTCATACATGTTAACAACACAGATGAGCCTTGAAAAACGTCGTGCTAAGTGAAAGAAGCCAGTCCCAAAAGGCTACATATCTTCTGATTCCATTTATGTGAAATAGCCAGAACAGGCAAATATATAAAGACAAAAAAATAGGTTAGTGGTTGCCTGGGGCTTGAAGGAGGGGAATGGAGAGTGACTGCCAAGCGTGCAGGGTTGCTTTCAGGGGTGATGAAAACGTTCTAAAATTGTGGTGATAGATGCACAATCCTGAATACACTAAAAGCCATGAAATCGTATGCCATTAAAGGGGTAATACGAGGGAGGTGTAAAGTATGTGAATTCCATCTCCGTAAAACTGTTAAATAAGAGAGAGGCAGACAAGACACAGGCTGAGAATTAGAAGCACTGTAGAAATGGTTATGGGCATGGGACAGAATTTCAAGAAGTGGGTTGAAATTAGGTAGCTAGTGGGAACCTGGGTGGCTCAGTGGCTGAGCATCTGCCTTTGGCTAAGGTCGTGGTCCTAGTTTTCTAGGATTGAGTTCTGCATCGGGTTCCCTGCAGGGAGCCTGCTTTTCCCTCTGCCTGTGTCTCTGTCTCTCTCTGTGTCTCTCATGAGTAAATAAATAAAATCAAAAAGAAAAAAAAGAAGAAACTAGGTAGCTAGAAATCCAAAGGGCAAAGAGAAGAAAACCCTAAAGAAATAGGGAGCACCTCTCTAACACAAATGGCACGGGGTCAGATTGCTGACACTAATAGATTCTTATTTTCCTAAAGTTGATGGTAGATGGGTCCCTGCCACGGAAGAGATGGTTGCCAAGTCCTGTGTGCCCTCCATTGTGACAAAGGTTGAGGCAGAGATGTGGGGTCACAATCTCCCCATGGATGTAGCCTAGGTTCAGGCCGCAAAGCCCACTCTCCTGAGGTGTGGTGGTTAGGCCAAGACTCAGCTGTTGATAGAGAGAGAGCAGCTTGTGTGAAAGTCAGAGTCAAGGGGCACCTGGGTGGCTCAGTGATTGAACCTGTCCGTCTTTGGCTCAGGTCATGGTCCAGGGGTCCTGGGATTGAGTCCTGCATTGGGCTCCCACAGGGAGCCTGCCTCTCCCTCTCCCTCTGCCTCCCTTTTTATGTCTTTCATGAATAAATAAAAAAAATTTTTTTAAAAAAAAGGTCAGAGTCGAGAAATAGGTACTGTTAATCAGATATAGCCAGGGAGCACCGAGCTGGGCATTTTATGGGCTGGCGTGTTACCGTGGAGGACTTTATGGCCCTTGCCATCAGTGGGTGGAGGCCAGTTTGAAAAGGCAGAGGCTGGAGACAGGGAAGTTCTTTGAGAAATGACCTGGACCTAAATGGGGACAGCGTGGGAAGAGGTGAGACTTGGACCTGTTCAAAGGGAGGTGTGTCAGGGCTTCGCTGACAGTGTGGGAGAGAGTATGATATAGGTGACCCTGTGGACGGACAGGCCC